GTTTTGTTTTAGTAAGGATCTAAAGGGTCTCACTATGTAGATCAAACTTGTAGTGATCCGCCTTTTTCAGCCTCCCAAAGGGCTGGAATTACAGGCATGTGCCACCATGCCCAATCTCAATCTCCATCTCAGTGTGCCCCAGGCATGGGACAGGCACAGCATGCCTGGGATCGAAACTAGCTGCTGCTTCTGCCTAAGCAGGTGCTTTAATCCACTGAGCTATTTGGCCAGCCCTCACTTGAGACCTTTGGTCTCTGCCAACATTTAGTTTTTTGTTGTTTACCAGTTCTCATCCTGCTCTCTAGTCCTTCTTCCTGCACAGCCCTGCTGTCCTCATCTGGTCAGAAGTGGGCTTGCAGCTGAAAGTGGAGAGGAGGAGGAGCTCTATAGCTAAGAGAATCTGATCTAAAAGCTTTTCAAAGTAGATCTCTGTGGCTTTTGTCTTACCTTTGTGTTTCTGCTTTGCCGATATCTTCTGAATGCAGTGCATCAGGCATCGTGTGAAAGGGAATGGAAAGAGCAAAGGGCATCAGTAAGTGTGGAGGAATATCTGTTACTGTCCTGTTACATTTCCTTCATTTATAAAAATCATTACAAAACTAACCCATTTATAAGTTTGTGATTTACACAAGAGTGAATTTCAAGCTGTATGCACTATGTGCACCTTTATATATCAAACAATTCATTTTTTTTTTTTTTTTGACAGAACCAGGAATTGAACTCAGGTCCTTGAGCTTGCCAGGCAAGCACTTATTCTACTGAGCTATTTCCCCTACACCTCAGTTCAATATTTAAAAACTCTTTGAAATCACCATTCAATTTTAAAACAGGAAGAAGCAAGGATATCGTTAGAAGTGCTGGATATATTTATGGTGTTGATTATAGTGACATTTTCAGGTTCACATGTGCAACCACATAAAGATGTATATTTAAACACACGGTTTTGTACACACCATAAATTTTTAATTAGAGTGTCAACAGATAATAGTAAACTATTTCCAACAGACTAATATCATGGCTTTCCCTTCATGGTCACTATTTATAGACTTACAGAATACCTAATTAGTGCAGAGACTTCCCTACTTTTGATCTTCAATCCCACTGCATCAGGAGCAGGAGCAGAACTGCGCTGCCCTGTGCTCTCTGCTCTGCCTCAGCTCTGCCCGGGCCCCTGTAGTTTGGGTGCAGCTGCAGGCCCCCGGGGAGCACTGTGTGCTCACTGCGCAGAGGTAGGTGGCTGAGTCGCTGTGCTGGGAGCCTGAGATGTCCAGGGAAAAGTGGCGGCTAGATGTGCTGAGCCGCGCTGTGAATCTTCCTTCTTCTTTGTCACCATTGGAGTACATGGACACCAGCAGCTCGGGGCCTCTCCCAGGACACTGTCGGTACCAGAAGAAGTACTTAGAAGTGCTGTCCCTGTAAGTGCAGTTGAGAGAGGCGCTGGCTCCCTCTGAAACACGGAGGGACTCAGGGCTCTGCTCCACCTCCTTCTGCTGGCTGCTCACCGCTGGGGGGAAAAGACAATGGTCAGACAGAGAAAGCTGGTTGAGTAATGGATGTTTATTCTCTAAAATGAATATTATATTTGGGTGTTGTGGTGCATGCCTATAATCTCAGTCCTTGGAGGCTGACACAGGAGGATCGTGGTGAGTTCAATACCAGCCTCAGTCACAAAATGAGCTCAAGGCCAGCCTGAACTACACAGCAAGACCCTGTCTCAAAAAGACAAAAAAAAAAAAGTTAAATATTTATGGGCCTCCCACCCTTCCTTATATAGAGGTTAAAACTGTTGATGTTTCTCTCACACTCCTTGGAAAAGACAAGTCCACATCCTCGGACATTATATTCCCCTACAAATGCCCAAACTCACAAATGAGCTGAAGCCACAGGATCAGTAAGGCAACACTAAAGGATTCCATCATTCTTCTCTCCACCTTGTTCACTGAGGATTCAGATTTTAAACCCTAAAAAAGGGAGAATTCTTCAGACCCTTCTAATTTTTCTGATGTAAGAAACATAAACATCAATAAAGGAATGTTTTTTTCAGTTACAAAACAAAGGTTCTTCTTAGTGCTCCTGCTAACCACCAGCCACCTCCCTTCATGTCTATCTCTTGCACTCTCTGTCTGTCTGTCTGTCTGTCTGTCTGTCTGTCTGTCACACACACACACACACACAGCCACAGTCACACTAGGAAATGTCCTTAGAGTTCCTGAGAACTTACTGCCCTCTTGTGGACTTACAATAGTTCTGAAAACAATATTCATAAGGTGGAGATTAGTTTTGTGAACTGTTTAAACAGAAATCAGAACACTTTAATTAAATTAAAACTTAAGAAACACTTGCTCCAAATCAATCTTCATGTATCTAAAATGTGTATAACTTCATCTGTTTTACATGAATTGGCAATACAGAAATGCATACAATATTTATTCTGTTTGATAGAAACATCTATGTTTCTCATATCTATATTAGAAATGTTCATTTAGTACTGTCGTGGTTGTGGGTTATTCAAAGGACTTAATAAAGACACATATTTTATGAGAATATTTTATAAAGAACCACACAAAGAATTATATACAAAGAGTGCAGGAAATCTGTTCACTCTCTAAAGACCAAAGACTACAGCTGAGTGCCTGGAACCTAATATCCTGTATGAGTCCAGCTGAAAACCTAGAGCCCATAAGGACGCCTCCCACAAAGTCCCACAGGAGGCCTAGAGTCCATGACAATGTCTCCTGCAGGCCGGCTTCACGGCTCTGTGCTGGGAAGGCCCAAAGGTCAGGGGTGGAAGCTAGGGAGTCTGTGTCAGTGGGATGAAGGATCTGCTCTGGCAGGCTGAGGAGTCTGCACTGGAGCCAGGAAGCAACATTCAAGGTAAGATCCAGAGCTCTGCCTAAAGGGACCACAGCCATCCTCCACTGCAGAGAGGTCCCGAGCTCCTCTGAGGATGAGGAAGGCTGAGTTCGCACCAGGAAAGCCAAGGATGAGTTTCTGCAGCAGACTGATCTGTGCGCCATCTTCCCTCGAGCCAGAAAGTGATGCTGAAGGTGAGACCAGAGCTGCCCCAAAGTGCATGGTGGCCATCCTCAGTGACAACGAGGTCCTGTGCTCCTCCTCTGACAAGACAGCCAATTTCACCAGGTAAGAAAGCATGACAAGTTCCTCCAAGAAAACCAGCAGCTTCCAAAGGTTCACAAGCATCTTCTCCAAACAGCTTCCCTAACAGCCTCCTGCAGCTTCTGTAGATCTGCCTCTAACACTGCTGGCAGCAGTCCTCAGGTGGGCCTCTCACAGCCAGCACCACCACAGGTCTGGTCAGCAGGTGGAACAAGTTGGCCAGCCACCACAGGTTCATGGATGATTCAGATTCTCACTTGAATATAATTTAACCAAAGTCGTGTAGTAATAAAATAAATAAAGCATAACACTATTTGCAAAATAAGATTAAAATCACCTTCATGTTTATGTTCATTTCTGGGAATGGAATGTCTCTCTTTTGGTTCTTTTTGGCAATTACATCAAAGAACAGCATGTTGGTCCAGTGCTGTTGTGGGAGTCACAGTGGGTAATACTCTGTATCCTAGTTGTCTGTGCTCTAGGGCTTCTCATAGCTTTAATTAAATGCTTTTTGAGACAAATTAAATGTATTTAGTCCCAGCCTCTGTCTGGAAGATTTATCAGAAGGGCCAGTGAGTGGCATGCTCATCACAAAAATGTCTACACACTAACACAATGCAGGATGAAGAATGGACAAGGCTGATGGCCCAAGTGAGGCTTTCTTATTCCCACACATCTCAGTGAGTGTGCAGTAACACAGTGCTGTGACCTTGACACCTGGACTGTTTCTCAGAGGTGTCCATCCAGGGAGGAACTGTGACAGATGAGGTACTGTCCCCTGAAGATCAAGCTTGTTCACTGCTTACAGAGTCACAACCTCAGAGTGTCTGTGCTGTGACAACTTCGCATCAGGCAGCACATCCAGTGTCCCAGTGGAATCACGTTTCACCCCTTGGGGAAGGAGAAACTGGAGAAAAACACCAGTGTTTTTGTGCCTCTTGTGCCCTTAGTAGCTAAGGTCTTTGTCTCTGATCCCAAGGCTAGGCATTGTTACAGCAGGGAACTAGTATCTGCTTGAAAATGTTTACAATACAAGGCCTGCCAAACCCTCTTTACTATAGTAAAGACCTGAAGTATTTTTTTTTCTGAAGTATTTTTAAGGAAGGTAATTTTACCAAATTGAATGAAATAGATTCTTTTTGAAAGATGTGGCATATAACCTCTTGTGGGAATCACACATTATTTCTGATAAAATGTGTTAGAAAAATTCAGAATAAGTTAATGAAGTGATGACTCCTTCTGTAAAATTAGTGCTACAGGCTCAGATGACCATTAATCATACACAGATCCTGATACTACTCAAACAGGAAAGGTAGGAAAGTTATTGAGCATTGATTTGACCGTCATAAAGATATTTTACAAGACCCTTTGTAAATCTAATCTATGAAATGTTTACTAATTATTTGAATTTATTTCCTGAATAACTTTTTTTAACTGTGATAATTTAAAATAAAACTTTGAAAGGTGCCCAAACTATTCAACATGAAAGGTTCTTTTCTCCCTTCTATGTTGTTGGTTATGTACTTTTTCTTTCTCTCATACCCCTGTGTGATTTCCCATTTGAGTTTACTCAGCCCTTCAGATAAAGTGAGGTCCATTGGGTGGCAGATGGCAGAGGCTCTCAGTGGATGTAGCTATTTGCCACATCTGTCCCAGCACAAGGAGACAGGGATGGGGCCTGGGGAGGGCAGGGTAGAGCAGTGCTACCTCCCCAAGGAGGAGGAAAAGGAGACTGTACAGTGGGTTGGAGCTGGTGAGGTGATAAGGGAAGAAAAGAGAGAGCAAGAAGAGTCCCAAGAACAGTCACTCATTCCTCCACTCGTTCACTCATTCTTTAGATACTTCTGAGTTGCCTGCAGTAGGTCAGTCACTGAGGACAAAAGCAGTAACCACGGGGACCTGGTTGGGGTGGGGCGTGAGCAGCAGCAGGAGCTGCAGAAGTCAGAGGATTTCTCTTCTGTGGTAGTACTTCAGCTGAGACCTGAATGGGCGAATGAGTCAGAGCGGCTGGGCTTTGGGGGAAGAGCTGTTCAGGTGGATGAGAGACCACATGTGGGAAAGGGTGTGGCAACTTCAGAAACCTGAAGGAGACAGTGCTGCTGGTGCACAGACAGCTTGCACAGGATAGTTAAGGGCTGAGACTGAAGAGTCAGACCACACTCGAATTGTGTAGAACTTGCATATATCCTGAAATTTGCATTTCACCCAGCAGTTATAGAAAGCTGTGGAAGCGCTTCAGGTCAATGGAGACAGCTTTGATTTGCCAGCTAAAACAACCATTCTAGGAACCCATCAGATGACCCTTTAACTGTTATGTCACAGGCTCTTCTGGGCCCTTGTCAGCATGTGGACCTGAGTTCAGTACCTCTGGAGACCCCAAGAGTGGGCACAGGTTCAGGGATTGCTCTTCCTCACTCTGAGGAGTGAGGGTGTGGGCAATGCATGCTGGGAAGGAAAGGAGCACTGAGAAGGTACCTTGGACCAGAACAGAACATTTCAGCCTTTTCTGATAAGAAAGGAGACTGATTCTGTGTGCTGGGCTCTCTTGTGTTCTTACCTTGCTTACTTAGTTTTTAAGACCCTGCATGTGAATTTTTATAACTAAAACACTGGGAAAACTTTCTCCTAAAACACAAGTTAATTTAAATAATAATGTCCACAATTGACAAGGTATTGGAAAATCAGCATCATCCTGTGCCAGTGTTAAAATCATGTATTACTGAAAAATATCATCATGGAAAGTAGAATTTCAGTGTCACATATTATCTATTTTAAGAACTGTATTTCCAGTAAGACCAGAATTTAACAAAGCACGTAAAGCCCTGGCACTCATCTCTAATCTCAGCACTCAGGAGGCTGAGGTAGGAGGATTGCTGCAAATTCAAGGCCATCCTGGGCAGCACCTTGAGCTAAACGCCTGCTTGAACCACAATACAAGGCCCTATTTCAACAACAGCAGAAGCAGGAACAATATTACAAAGCTAAGCATTGTCTATAATATTTGGAAACAATATAAAAAGTGACCAATCTTTTAAAAATCTGTAAAAATGAGGAAATCATTGAAAAATATCCTTTCAATTAGTTCCCTAATTGAGAGACTTTGAATCACCTAAATATACAGTGAGAAGTGACAACCAGGTCACTAAGTACTGGATTTGTAATGATCGCATTACATAGAAAAATACGGCTCTAAAACCTCCAAATTTTAAGTATTAGTACAATTGTACTAATTGTAGCCAGCCAGGAGTTAAAAAAGTTTTATTTTTATTTGGGTGCATATAGCTTTTGATTTACTCAAAAATAATACATTTAATTAATAGGTTTAATTTAATTTACAAGACTGAACTATTTCCTTTAAACTCTGACTCCTGCTTTGTGCCAATTATGGAAAAATGCAGTTGTTCAGGGATCTGAAGACCTGACTCTGCTCTTGGTTTTTATTCATGTGTCATGCTTTCAGAATGTTACTTCATGCCTGTGTCCAAATTATTTCATCAAAATAATGAAGGTCATGGGCCGATCAGTTTTGGTAGATTGAGATTGAGGTAGGTGGTCACCTCAAGCTATGCAGAGTAAAGCTTTTCAATTGTCACACATGTAATTATACTTTAACTTATCCTAGAAGAACATATTAGCAGTATAACTAACATATCATTTCATGAATACTATTCGTTAAATTAAGAACAGTTTTAAAGAGCTGTTGTTACAGTTTATATCTAGCTGTCCCCCCAAAGCCTTGTGCCATCATGGGGTGGCTTCTGGAGTTTGTGACTGATTCTTGATCCAATGCTTGGATTATGGAAGTGAGTGCCCTG